TTTAGTCCTTCAAAACCCACAAGTGGGTTTTCCCTAGGGTTACAAGTTTATGCGGCTTAGATCCAGATCCAAAACCATTTCTTTATACAGCTTTGGCCTTTGATCTTGGCCTTCTGTGACAGGCAGTCAGTAGACAATGACCCTCACCTCAGGACATAGCTTCAAAAGGCTGGGGTTTTGCATAAGCAGAATTGCGATAATTTGCATTAATTTCTCTCTTAACACTTATTGTCCCAATATAGTCTTTTGAACTCCCAGATCTCACATCTGTCACATCTCCCCACTAGAAAGATTACATACAATCATGGCCCACAATAATATTAGGAGATCTTTCAGGGATATTGTGGGGAATTGCCACATCTGTCACAAGCAGAATGTAAACAGGATAATATGTGGACTGACATGGGGACTAATGAAATGAACACAAGACTGGAAACCAGGAGCTCCTGGTTCTGTCACTGTATCTTTTATGCCTCAGTTTCACCATCTGTAACACAAGAATAATAATGCTTATCTATCTCGTATGGGTGTGGTAACATTTTTTGAAGATAAAAAGCACCACACAGCTGTTGAGTATAATTACTGATCCACCTTCCCAACTCCTGGTGACTGCAACAGGGGTTATTCACAGGAATGGCAGTAAATCAAGCGCTATCTATTAGTGTCTTTCTTAGTAAATGGATCCAAAAATTCTAAAGGGAGGCCCCCAGATCTTCACTCATGGAATCTTTCATTTTCTTTTCATTTTACCCCCATAGCTTGTGTGCTTCCTCTCCTTTGCAGACAACGGAGGAACAATCCTCCTCTTCCGGTTTGAGTTTCCCCGGGTGGATATTTGACAGAGGCCGGCTCAAGCACTGTCTTGTTCACTAGGCTTCAGGGAGGACATCTGTAAAGAAAAGCGTAGAGCCTTCCCACTCAATCTAGTTTTTCAGCATAGCCGGTCACCAACATTCTAGCTTCGTCTCCTGAGGAAGACGGTCATCACCCAAATTATATCTGCATCACCCTCTTCACCTAGATCCCCCAGCGAGTGCTTGCAATGAGCCCTCCAGCAGCAAAGCTGGGAGCTGGATTCCAATTTCTCCACAGTTGTAGTGACAGAGGGCCAGACTCAGTTGCACTAAGACCACTCTGGTAAACATGTAAAGGGACCTTAAAGGGGGCATCAAGTATATTTACATTTATGTAAAATGAGAATCAGACCCAGAGAGAGATGAGCTGGTGAGACCCAGACCTGGATTGACTCTTTAAAGCTAAGGGGCATTTAGCGCCAGGGTTTCAGGTCAGGCCAGTTTTAGGAGGTCCAGTACCAGTGTTCAAAGCAGTGTGCTTGGAAGGTTATCCTCCAATCCTGGTCTCACTGAGGTCATCAGCAAAATCACCATTGGCTTCAATAGGGCCAGGAGCTGCCCCAAAGTGCAGAACTCTTGGTATCAGTTTGTACCGAAGTTTTATAGTAACCTTGCCTATCTTCTTGGTTTGACTCCCCCTCCCTGCCCTCCCAAATTCCCATCTCACAGCCACAATGCTGCTTCTTGGAGACGCTCTTGTTGTGTGGCATTTTAACTCTTTCATGGGTCAATTAAAAAAAAATTCCTCTTCCCAGTTTACGGAATCAACAGATTTATCTGCGCCAGCCAGGCTTCCTTCTTGGTTGTGAACCTTGGGCTCAGATCTGTAAATGGTTTATTTCTGGGTGTAAGGGTTCCAATTGTTCTTTTATTGATGCACGTCAGAGGGGCAGCAGTGCTGATGGAAGGATCACACTAGGCCCACACGATGATGTCAGAGCAGCCTGCACTCCTTAGATTTGGGAAGCAAGGAAGTTAAAATCCCTTAATGCCATGAGGCATTTTTCCACTCCCTCTCTAACTCACAGATTGTCTTTGGGGTTTTCTCTCCCAGGTGCCGGTTATGTATGTTTAGACTAATGGCTAAGGGGGTACCACAGGATGCCTTTGAGTTCACTAGTGGATAACTATGCCTGCACTTAGAGAACATCCAAGGCTAGGTTCTTTCCCCAGATGTGTGTCAATAGGAAACTCGTCCCAGGGCAGAATTTGACTTTTTCATAGAATAAACTTTAGATAATTAACAATGGAAAACTTTGAACTCCATTAGACCCGGATGAAAAGGACACAAAGATACTGGAGAAGGCTGACTTTATTCTCAGCTGAGGCACTCAGTTACCACAGTGATGGGTGTGATATCAATTCCTAGAGAGAATGTTATTACACTGGATTTTTGGCACTGCTATCCAAAATATAAAGTAACAATAACTAAGATACTTGGGGCCAGATTTTCAGGAGCGCGGAGTTAGGCACTGAAGGGAAAAGGTCGGATGCCCAAAGTGCTCAGCAGCCAGCGGATCCCATTGATAAGGACTGTACTGAGGATTGCCTTATTGAGAACAGTGGCGGCGGCAGGGTGATCAGCACAGTTGAGTACCTGGTCACTTCACTCAGGTGCCTAAATACGAGCCCTTTGGAGAAATCTGGACAAAAAGCACATTCTGCCTGGGGTACTTAAAAATTATACTTTAATATAGACAACTCGAGCAACCGAAAATTAGGACTCCGTATATATTAACTGGCCTTTTATTTTGCTACGGTCATCTGCTACTAGATTCTTTGCCATGTGTGATAAGATTAAAGGAACAAGTCCTTTCTCTGCCACAGCAAAATAAGGCACAATATCCTCCTTGGTACAACTGCGGCGTCCCCCGCTAACATACCGTAGGGCTGGTGGCATCAGTGATTCTTTTAAAGAGTTCCTGAAGTTTTTGCTACAAAGTTCTGACACGGCATTCAAAGACCTGATCCTGAAAATCCGTACTCCTGTAAGGAGTTACACAACTGAGGCAAGAGGCACCTTTGAAATCAGTGGGATGGCTCATGTGAGTAGGGACTAGGTAGGTGAGTGGGAGTTTGCAGGATTGGGGCTCTATTTTGAAAATTAAGTTTCAGGCTCGTCTTTTGGAAAAATAAACACATGAACACATGGCCAAAGTTTTCAAATCTAGGTGCCTAAAGTTAGGCTCCTAACTTAGAGTGCCCTGATTTTCAAAGGCTACGATTTTCAGAGTCACATAGGGGATTTGGAAACCCAATTCTCATTAAAATTAATGGGATGATAATATTAAGGACATAAAACCAATCATTGTCACAGCAGAATCAGGCACAGTGGGGTTTTAATGGGAATTGGGTGTCCAAATCGCTTTGGTAGTTTTGAAAATCTCATTGTGAAGTGGAGAGAGCTGACAGCTCTCATTGAAATCAGCGAGGATTTTAGATACTCAGCGCCTTTGAAAATCAGGCTGCGTTAATTCGGTGCCTATATTTGGGCCATTTTTTAAAAAAAATTATTTGACGGCTCTTTTGTTTGCCCTTTTTAAATCAAAATAAGCAGCTTTCCAACAGGAAGTTTAAATTTAGCTGAGATTTATTCCTTAACCTAAAATAGTTCCTTCAGCTCTGGTACAAAAATAAATACGATTTTGTACCCAGGCCATGTACACAGCAGCTACTGCACGCCTGCTGCAATTATTTCTTCATCGTGGTGTGTGTTTAGAAAAAAGGTCTCTGTACACAACAGTATCCTATGCTGCAGAAAGTACTACCCAAAGGCTTTCAATTAGAGGGAGGGCCTCACCTTGAAAAGTCTGGGTCCAGAGTGAAATCTGGAAACCCCTCCCACACCAAAGCTCAGCATTGTTCAGAACAGAGGTTTTGAGCTGGCCCATTAGAACGTCAGAGGCACTAGCTAACTTCAGATTCAGACCAACATTTCCAACCGCCTCATCCCATCCCTAAGTTCAGGGGCATTTGGAAGAAAGGTTGTGGTTCACTCATCTCTCAACGCCCATCAAAGGGAAAACAACACTAATCTTTAGCTCCAATATAGCACTTCTTCTCTGCAGATCTCAAAGCATTTTATAAAGTAATTTTCTTCATCTCCATTTTACAGATGGAGCAACGGAGGTCAAGTGATCACAGTCCAGGTCACACAGTAGCAGGGGTGGACGTAGCATCCCAATTAAATGGGTGCATCCTACTAAATCCAGTATAACCGTGTGACAACAAGTAGTACAAAGAGAGGATGACACAATGACAGTGCCAGGGGTGGGTGTGTGGTCTGGTGAGGGGCCCAGGCCCAGCCTCAGTGCAGGGCCAGTCCCGGTTACGCACGGCAGTGAGAGACATCCCACCGGAGATGCGATGGGGGAGGTGGCTCCACTCAGCATCTGTTCCCAGCTGTTGAGGGAGTCCCTGCCACAAGCCCAGTGCCCTGACCCCATCTTTGCCGCCTGGAGACTGGGACACACTGAGGTATTGCCTCCCCCCTGGTGCTCCCTCTGGGGAGATTTTCCCCTTTGGGCCTCTGTAGAGACTCTGACATCATTATGCAGCAACATGACCAGGAGCAGCGCCACCATGACACAGGGCCCAGGCTTTGGCGCCATGTGCAACTTCTTGTGCAAATGAGCAAATGAAGCTCCCCCTCGCCCCCACAGGGTGTTTTTGCACCCTTGGTTTTCCAATTTCTGTGGGTGGGAATCCACGAACTCCCACTAAAGCTATGCCCCTCCCCTGCTGCCTAGTGGGTCAGTAGCAGAGCCAGGAATAGAACCCAAGTCTCCTGACTCCCATCCAGTGCGCTATCCACTGGACCACACTACCTTTGGCAGCTCAGAATTTCCAGCTTTGAAATAAGCACTCTCCAGCAGGACCTGCTTCCTTGGTGCTCACGTAGCTGCAGCTGCGGTCTGTGAATTCTGGCCTAACACATTTGACCGAAGAGTTCAGTAAAGGAAAATGATTAACAAATGCACTTACAAACAGCAGAGTCAGCTCGGGCTTGTGCGCAGGCTTCCCTCTCTCCTCCTGTGGTTCTGTGAATCACACATTTTTTCATAGGCAAACTAAAGTGCCAGCTAAGACTCGAGACAAGAGTGACAAAGAAAATCAATAATTCAAAGGCTTTGTTTCTATTTGCAGCATGTTCTGCCGGGGCACGAAGAAATCTGAAGACCAACTTGTGTAAATGGTGCGACTCCACCTCCCCAGTGTGTGAGGAAAAGGTGTGCTACAGCAACTGTAATTTGAACTCCTATTGTGAGAGTCCATATGAAATCTGTGTGGCCATATGGTAAGCAACAATCCTATTACCAATGTGCTTTCTGTATGTGTGACGAAGCGGGGATTTTCCCTTGTTATGTTGTATGGGAGTCTTACTTTTGAGCCTATGTGAGTTTTACTGTTTTGCATGAATACTGTGTGCGCGCCTCAGTTTCCCTGTGTATTGCACCAATGCGTAGGTGGTGGGATAAGGGTGTATGACTTTGGCTGAGACCCCCGGGGGCAGGTGATGCTGCTCCAGCTGCAATGGCTTCGTAACCTGAGACCCAGAAGGGGGATGCAACCAGGTGATGACCAGGTGACACTTTGCCTGGGAAGCAAGACAAAGACCAGGAGGAGGAGCATCAGGCGTGTCAGAAGCCTGGTAGCTGGAACCCGGGCAGCCTGCTTGGGGGGACTGGAAGAGAGGGAGTCCAGGGTGTCCGGCCCAAGGTCCCCCAAGATGGACTTCGCTGAAAGTCACTGATTTCTGTGCTCACACATTTTGTTCTACGCTGTGTTCCTGTCGACTAATAAACCTTCTGTTTTACGCTGGTTGAACGTCACTGCTGGCTGTGGAGTTGGGGTGCAGGGCCCTCTGGCTTCCCCAGGAGCCCCGCATGGGCGGACTTGCTGCGGGAAGCACACGGTGTGGAAAGGGATGCCTCATGCTCTGAGGTCAGACCCAGGAAGGTGGAAGCTGTGGAAGCTTCTTGCCCTGGTGACAGTATGCTCAGAGAGAGGAGGCATGCTCCCCCAGAGTCCTGGCTGGCTTCAGACAGAGCAGTTCCAGAGCACTGGCCCAGTGACTCCGTGACAGTATGGTAAAAAGTTTCTGAATTATTTAAAAAAGTGCATGGAGCCAGTGCCATAAAACTAAGCAGAAATTCTAGCCCTGCACTCATACAGAGGATCCCAATGGTCCCTTCTGACCTTGGAACCTATGAATCTCCTATTCGCGATATAGGGAGATGCTGTGATTGGCTGGGCCAGGCAATTTGTAGTTTCATATTAGCTAGCAGGTTGAGATGAAGACTAGGCTCCCCGTAGTCTTCACCTTGACCTGCTAATTAGCCTCAAAGCTGCAAATTGCTTTGTCTTCACTATGGTTTTCCCTTGAGTTAGTTACCATGTGTTAGCTAACACACCTTTTTTCTAAGTGAAGACAAGGCCTTGAAGTCTGAAAACAAAACTGAATCTCTCTCTAGGGGATAGTAACCCCAAGACATTTCATTGGCTCTATCAGCAGAAGCCCACAGTTGCCGGAGAAACCAAAACAGCAGCATTAATCGTCTCACATGGAATCGAACTGTAAATACTCATAGCAAATCACTCACCTCGTCTGGTGAGGAAGTCACCCGGTGGCCACAGGATAACAGTTCCTTATTAATAACTCACTAAGGAAGAGGTAGGTATGTTTCTGTGAGCTGTGAAAGAGTCGGTGGTATGAAAGCCCGTCACGACACAGCCACACCTCTCTTTCCTCATCCTCATCAGCATCTTCACTTGCCAGGAGCTTGTTAGCACTTTATCTTATCCTGCCCTGGCAAGCTGTTAGCAGGCAGTCGCCACAGAGGATACAGCTTGTTCTGTTTTGTGGAATTCAGATGTCCTGTGTGAAGACCCCCCGGAAGACATTGACCTCTCAGGGGCAAATCCACTGAAGTCAATTCAGACTCCTACTGCCTAGAGTGGGCTTTAGATCCCATCTTCTGTTGACAAAGGCACATTTAAGCAACTTTTCCTCGTGTTTTGTTTGGTACCCAGCTTTATATCAATCGTTTTTCTCCTGTATGCTCCAGGTCTAAGTGACAAGTTCACCCCCAAAATACAATCTTGTTCTCCATGACCCAGAAGGGAGATCATTATTGTAACTTTCTGAATTATTTTCCTCAAGGTTATTGGGGGCCCCCTGATGTGCTAGGTCAGGTGTCCTTCGGCATTCAGGTTTCAGGATTGTAGTTCAGTTTTCCACATAGGCTAGTGGCTAAAGAAGAGCAGATCTGGGTTCTATCCCTGGCTCTACCACTGACTTTCTGAGCAACGTTGAACAAGTCATGGAACCTCTGTGTGCCTCACTTTCCCCACTTGGCAATCCCAGGATGGGAGATGCTAGCGAGTGTAGAACATCATGAGTGCAAAGGTAATTATGTCTATAGTTTCCTTATGCACAGGAACTCCCAGGATGCATGACCTAGCCTCGTTTTTTCAAGGTCTCCATATGGTCTCCAGTGCCTTGATGCCTGAAATCTGTTTGTTAGTAAAAACAGATTGCCACAGAGCAGCAGCCCAGTCCAACCCCACTGAAGCAAATGGGCTTTGGAACAGGCATTCGATCTCTTAGAAGCACATTGCATTCACCCACTTTGGAGAGACTTGGGGTGGGTACCTTCAGTCTTCACCCCCCACGAGTGGGGAAAGCATCCAGCTGACAACTTGCCGATTGCAGGGTTTTTTTTGCCACTCTTGGTGCAGAGCATGGTGGAGGCCCGTCTGGAAGAGTTACATGTTCACAGTCCTAGCAGCGGTAAATGTGACTTGGTAAAAGTGCCTGTTTTCACTGGAGGTTGTGGCATGGTTACCTCAGTCACTCTCTGGGCCTGGCTTTGCATTGGCTTTTCATTTCCTTCCAAATCTGTGTTCTTGAAACGCTGATAAAAGCTGTTTTTGAAAGAAAAACCCAAGAGTCCAAAGAAAACACGACGACTCAGTTTTGTGGTTAAGCTCTTCCCCCTGGAGACCATTGTCAGTGCTCTCTGCAAAGCGCCGGGACGTGCATCTAATTCTGGAATGCTGCTTTCACAGTTACTAACAGGAAACCATTCTATTAGCTGTTAAATAGATATGGCTCTATACCGTGCACACACATGCGCCACCCATTAGAATTGGAACAATCTCCCAGTTCATAGCTGCCAAGCTCCCACCCTCCTCTCCTTAAAAAAAAGTCTGAGACCTTATGAGGCACTCCAGCTGTATTGACCATGCAACACGGTACAGCCATGGAGAGGGGCTACTATTGCCATGTATGTTACTCACCATCCAGCCCTGTGTACATCTGTGGTGCTATACAAAGGACGCTATTTTGCGCTTTGACAGCACCGTCTGTCCAAGGATCTCAGGGTGCTTTGCTGACATTTAGTTCACAATACCCATGAGATGAGATGAAGTACAGACATACAGAGAATTTAAGTATCCAAATCACACAGGGAGTCTGTGGCAGAGCCAGGAATATTGTTCTGGTCTCCTGACTCCCATTCCTGTGTCTCAGCCCCAAGACCATTTTTCTGCCCCTTATAATGAATACTGGTATATGCACAAATTCATACTGTTCCCTGTCAGAGCAGTATCAAGCCCCTCGTCTTCAAAGATCTTCACAAAGTTGCTCCCCTTCTGACCTCTCTGCTCTTACCCTGATCACCTTTTCACTTAGCCCAAGTTGCTTCCCTGGGGATGCTTTCTTTGTATTTTTTGCCCACATCCACCTTCAGACCTTATTTTGTTCTGACTGATTTCCCAAGAACAATGTCACACACTAGCTTCCACGTCCCAGACCTTCAAAAAGGTATCTAGGCTCCTAACTTCTACTGATTACCTTTGAGGATCTGGGCCCAAGTGACTACCTAATCATAGTGTCCTAATCAGATACTACAGTGATGGAGGCCATATACCAAGACAGATTCTTGTCCCTATTGGTCATTCTAATCTATATAGGTTCTCATACAATGTTTATCTACCTAGTTTCTGAGCCCAGGCATCCTCCTCCTAAAACACTTGTCCGAACCCACTTCTCAAGGAGTGTTAGATTCCTATCGGCTTGGATACTTTTGAAATAACTTAATTCAATAACAAAGTAACATTTGGTTGCCACCAAGACACATGCACCAAGCATCCAAGGGCCTACATAACCATATGTTCTCTCTTACCATTTCCTGTTTGTTCTCAGTTTAATCTAATCTTCATCTGTATTGTAAAGCACTATGTATATTGTGATGATATACAAGCAATAAACAATAACTAAAAATGGACCCCAAGCTATTGAATTTGGATCTAGATTGGATTTCCATTGACTTTAACAGGCTGTTTGACATCATAACATGACATAACATGACATAGTATAGAATACTAATTTAAAATAAAACCTCAAAGTACAGACTACTGCTATTATAGCTTTGGCCCAATTCTGCCAACCTTATTCATGTGAGTAATTCCACTAAAATGAGTGCAGCTTCTCGAGTGAGTTTTCAGGATCAGGTCCTTAAATATTTTAACTATTCTTATTGTTGACTAAAACAACACAGCTACATGGGATGCAGAAAATTCATCAACATTTAATTCAAAATGTATGCTGTTCAAACAAATGCATTAATTCCAGAAAGTGAAATCTCTTGAGAAGTCAATTACTACTGATATTATAATATGATTTCTATAAGAACGGCCATCTGGATCAGACCAAAGGTCCATCTAGCCCAGTATCCGGTCTTCTGACAGTGGCCAATGCCAGGTGCCCCAGAGGGAACGAACACATCAGCTAATCACCACAATCACCTACTGGACATGCTCAGGGCCCTATTACCTGCACGTTATAATTTTGTCAATCAAAAGGTCAAGACATCTTTAGAAGCAGTAAAGAGTGTCCAAAGGCTAGTTATGTCCTCTATAGAATGAAGTCAGATATGGTCATTCAAGGATGAAATGTTAAACCTAGCAATAGCAATACCTAAAGATGCCGGTAGGTGCCTAAAGACCTTTAAAAATCTGGCCCTGAGACACTTTAGAAAATATTCCACAACGTCCTTGTTAAAAAGGCTGGCGATCTAGGGTACTAAAAGTAAATGAACTCTGTCCATTAAAAATATTGTTTAACTAGAGCATTGTACAACTCTAGGATTGATTACATTATAACACCTCATATAAAAACATCAAGAATTATTCCTCTGATAAGGTTTATTGCATGCATTTTCAGGACATTGCTCACTGTATTACCTGGGTGTAGTTAAATGGTGCAGTCATGTTTAAAAAAAACAACACTGC